TGAGGAGCAACAAGAGGAGAATGAGGCTGTGGGATGTTCTGACTGAAATCGGGTCCTCAGTTTTGTCCTCAAGAATGGTGCGGGAAACTGACTAAAAACCTATTAGTTTTGCCTTGACTACTTTGTCATTTATATCTCAGAGCTCTTCCTAAGTCACAATCAGCGAATCTCGTTCATAGTTAGGATCCTTGGAAGATTCTGTTCCTCAATCTGACAGTGAGGAACAAGGTAGGGCGCTATCGCAAGATACAGGCGCATCTTCTAGGTCTAAGCCTACGAAGGAGCACAAACTTCTAAGAAAATGTTGCTAACGCACCCTGGAGTCACTCTTCCCCTCCTGAAGCTTTGTTCCGTTTTCAAGAAAAGGGATATTTTTCAAGCAATTTTGAATGCATTGCCACCCTAGTGCCCCCGTGTCTTGCGATAGCGCTCAAAGTATTCCCGCATGTTCGTATAGGAATCACAGACGTCTAAAGATGAGCACATTTCTTGGATAACGTCAAAGCATGTGGGGGAGGGGTAGAGTGCGGTGCTCTTACAATCCGAATGTTTTCTTCTTTTCCCTAGGACGTGAGAAACGATAGACCGTGAAGTACTCGACAATTACGATAGGGGAAAAACCCAATGCTCCACTCCATTTGTGCTTGAGAGGTCTCACTGTAACATCGCAACAAAACATGCTACATTACTACCACCAAAATAGACAATAAGTCTTCTGGAAAGACAATTTTGCCATGAAATCATCCGGTTTGCCCGAGAACCTCTATTCCCATCGAACTCATCCCTAGTGCTATTCGAATCCACTGCATGGTCGGAGGAGTGGCTCCTCAGGTCGCATCCCTTCTTCCGAACCAAGTTACTATAACATCCACAACAAAACACGTTACATTACTACCAGCAAAAACAGTCAATAAGTTGCTGGCAGTGTTAAACTATGTATCTGAAAGAGTTAACTATAGGGCACTCTGAGGGATGAGCCCAAAGGTTCCGAAATCCTATGAGGCAACCTATCCGGACGTAGACACGGATCAGAAACTTCATCGATCTTTGCCGAACATTCCACAGTCTACTGGTTCGAATACGGGGACGGGGAAAAAAGGCAGAGGCATATCGATAACGCTGGTAAATTTAGGATGCGCCGTGCATTCGACCACCGTTGGATCTCGCAGAGGTCTTTAATGGCGCTCGAATGCACGGCGCATCCCAGAGTCTCTTCTTGAAGCTCTTTTCTGTCTATACCAACACTCGCGAAGGCTTGTTAATATCCCATGTTTAGTTTTTGCCCTGTCAAGTTTAGTACAAGGTAACCAAAACACGACCTGCCTTGGGCCTATAAAAACTTGATCCAGCGTTACGCGCAAGGAATATGCGACGTCTATTCTACTGCGCCAGCCTTAATTTACCTTCGAAACCCTTTGTAAGGTACAACGCGCGTGTAATGACGATTGGGTTTAAAAGGGTGAAAGCTAGGAGGTACAAGACAAGAATTCCCACCCACCTTCCCATCCGTTTTTTCTTGTTATCTTTTCCAAGGTGTCTATGGCTGCGGTAGATGTTATCTAAGAACGTTCGCACCGCTCGTCACAAATCGTCCACCAAGAGCGGTGACGACGGCGATCGCGCAACGTTATGTGCCAATCAACATGTTACGCCTTACCGCCCCATATCAGTAGTGGAAAATCTTTGAAGAAATTGAGAAAAGGACCGCGATCAGAGGTAGCAATTTGTCTGTGAAAGTTCGCGGTCAACAACCTCCGCCTAGGTCGGAACTTAGGGGGTGGTCGCGCTCCTTGTGGGGATGAAAAAGCTGAATATTTGGGACAGTACAAGGTTCTCATTAGGTCGTAAATATATCCAAAATCTTTTTCATTCAGACAACGTCGCTAAGTAAGGAGGTCAAGAGTAGGCAAGAAAGGACAGTAAGCCAGAACAGCGATCGAAGAGAGCCAAAACTTTCAGGTGACGAGGAGTAAAGGGGAATAAGGAGGCCACAAAACAATGACCACGGAAATCAGATTCGATCTAAAACTCCAGATGAAATCTGAGACGTTCGATAATGGTCCGAGGTTTGACGTGGAAGTGCCAAAACAGTTTATGGTTGACTTGATTGCTGCTGGCACCCGGGCTAAATAAACATACACACCACCCGGACGTACGGACGGACGGTGGGTGGCTGGCTGGCTCAATGTGCGGGCAAATTGATCGGCTCGAACGGGGTATGTACTGTCCGACTTTCCCGTAGACACACAACCAGCCACGGCGCTTATTCACTCACGCACTCATCTCAACTTCAAGGTCAACTAAGTGGTCAATTCAGGCGCACCACCGGCGCTCCGAGCATATGTGAAGAAGTAATTAGCCGCTGCGCCAAGATCTCGCTGTATCTCTGATTTCGCCTGCGGCATATTGCGTACCTCTGTTTCAGAAAACCGGAAGCGCTAGAGTGCAGACCACACATAACAAGTGACGACGGCCTCCAAAAAATGTAATGTTTTCTGCCATTGAAATGCTTGACCAGTTTTGTTTGTATTCTATCAGTTGCCACTGATTATAATTCTCATCAGATCACTCTAGTGAATCACAGTCACCAGGGACGGTAGCAAAGTACCCTTAACTCGCAATCAGAAGTAACGATCGGAGATTCTAAGCAAAGAATAAAGAATGGAGAGTGCGATCCAGCCCAGATCAAGCAAGAGCTTCCTACTTTAGATTTCAGACGACAAAATATCAGGAAACGAATAAATAAGAAAAAAAAGGTTGCAAAAGTACCTGAAGATTATGGATCGCAGCTGCATTCTTTGATTCCTAACAGGTTGAGCTGGTCAGAGAAGAAAAAAGAGCACGGGATTGAAGGAGGCGCAGTCACCACGTCTGACACGTATGACCCTCCAGTAAAAGTGCTTCGGAGTACTTTTTAGTGAAGGATCAACGTGGCCTCTGCGTCTCCTCAACCCCACAGTATTTTTTTCTCTGATTAGTTAGGAATTAGGTTTACAAGTTAACTGTCTAACTTCAAGTCAAATTGGTTTTTTTGGTTATGATCTAACTGTAGGTTAAACAAGACTTAATGTGTTGAGAAGCGCTCTGAACCAGTTATCTAAACTGACTTTGGTCTGAGCTAATCTCGACACGTTAAGTCTGAATTAATGAAGGTTTGCTACCGTCCCAGATTTCTTGGAAGTCTTCGTCACTTGTGTGCGGTGGTCTCGGTCACTCGATCGCTTCTGAAAAGAGGATAGCAGAAGCTTACGTCAGACAGAAAATTTCTACCGACATAACGATCCTTCGCTTTTTTTTCATACTTCACCAATCATTACGGTGACATCCCCTCCCTTACCCAAACCCCCCCCCCCCTAACTGGCACTTTAAATCCTAATGCCCTTTTCGCACGTGGCTCTGGTTTCCAGTGATCAATTCAGGCGAGCTAAACAATGAATTTGTGAAGATGAAAAGGCGTCACCACATCTGTATAAGAGTATGGAGCCACCAAAACCTGGCAAGTGCCCCAGGCTTTGCTTCAGGGTTACTGGAAATTAACTCGGAGCGAGATTTCTGCTGATCGTATATGCGTGCAGACCGCGACGGAAATTCATGGGGTATCACTACTCCGGGGCCCGGTACTGCAGGAAATTCCGGCCTTGATTTTGAACCAGAACACCGACCATGGCTCATCAACATGGATTAGTCACGATCGGTGTCTTGAGCGAAAACTGGGCTGCAACTCTCAAAGTGGGGAACACTTTCTGACAGCATAGTCACTCAAGTCTGTGGAGCAGTTACATTGAATTTGCCTCAAACTTTGAGTGAGTTCAGCCACCTGCTTCGTTGTAAAGCGGAAGTTAAGATGATCGGTGACTCCAATAACCTCTCGACTTTGTCAGCCACGAGTAAACCGTTAGTGGGCAGTCCTGAGCCGATGTATTTGACCGTTGCTAATTACGGCCGCAATACGTAGAGAAACGTTGCTTGTTGATGTTTGCTGAGAATCTCATCTTGGCCTTTGGATCAGGTGAATGCCGCCGTCAGTCCGTCGTTAATCTCTCAGCGGCAATTAGTGGCACTAAGCCAATGACACATTAGACGAGATTAGTGGTTACTGTAGAAGGGAGCTGTCGGTCAGACCTCTCTTTGAACCCTTTTCCTATCTTTTGCTTCATTTCCATTGCTTGACTACGGTAGGAGGTGCGGACTCCCTGCGATTCTGATGCACTGCTCTAATGGCATGGGATCAAGCCGAGGCACATAGTTATGTCGCACAAGTACGTGTTCGGGAACTACTTTGTTATGTCTTTCAGTCGCCAGAACTGTTTGATGAGTTCACACCTCCGTCCTAACAAAAAAGGGTCTTGACCCTGACCTCCATAATTTTACGACTCAATTATGGAAATGGGAAGAGAAGTTGTGCAATTCGACCGTGACACAAAATTTTGGCCTCGATTTGAACGAAGGGATTCCCACATAGCAGAGCAACGAAGAAAAAGGACCGTAGATGTTGATGACGACCCCACAACTAGAAGGGGATTTCTTTGCCATAGCGCTTAGTCATTTTGATTTGAGCTTTCTTTTCATTCCTGCTACTCTGTCAGTTTTGTTTCATACTGGTTTTGATGAAGTTTGATCGAATCGATTGCGAGTTCTCGATTTGGGCTACTTACTAGCCTGGAGTTTTATAGCGTCCCTGATCTTTGATCGAGTATAAACCTAGAACAACCAGTAGAACTGGTAATACGCTGCAATTTTACGGGTAAACCCCAAGTCAGCAAAGGATCAGTGAGCCGTGGATCCATGTATTCCTTCCTGCATAAATACAGTTCTTTGATGGTGCTCGAGCGGCGAATGACATAGAGGCGGTCACCGGGGGTAGGCAAGGTAGAGGACAAAAATCGCCGGCAACGAGAAAGGTGTGCGGGGGGATTTCCGCGCGGTACGCGCAAACACCCGCGTTGAAGGTGCATTGTTAGTGGGAAGGAATCGACGCTACCGCATACAATAGAGGAGCACCGTCTGTCAATGGAAATGGCCACAGATTGACCGTGTCTTGCACCCAGCGGGGAGCTACACTCTGGCGTGAAAATCCAACAAGGGACCTGTCTATGTGGCCGATTTCGATGTTGAGGCTAACCGGAAGTAGACAGCTTCATGGTAATACTTCTTTCATAGGTTGGGTATGTACATAGAACTCATCAGAAAACCGTATTTTGGTCTTTGGTAGAACTGCTGACAAACTCAGCCTATGCTTTATGCTTCCCTGGCGTGTCTTCATTATCGAAGTATGACGTCGAAGATATACCAGTAATTAGGCCGGAACCTACCATCAGAAGCAGGGCAAACAGTTACAAAGGCGAGAGTCTATGGCTAACCAGAAGTTTGTCGAGAGCCCAAGGTGATTAAAAGCTCCGTTCGATTTCTAGATTCTAGAGCTCTAAAACGTCAGTTTGCGGACAATGATTACCAGAGAGCACTGGAGATTGGAGCATATCCGAAAATACATCAAGACTCGTAAAATTCAAAGGAATTGTGCACGAAAGATACAGGATTCTATTGTATATCCCATTCCCCGCATAAATGGCTGGCATGAGACCGGTCCTCTACAGTATGTATAAAGAAGCCTTTCTTTACTCGAAACAATCTGACAACTGTGAACACTTTCAGTAGTACGAAATTCCGCCGTACGGTCGTAGCATATGTTGGTTGCGAGAACGTTTCATTTTTCTCTTAGAGTCCGTCGCTAATTTTCTTGCCCTCTCACATATGACTAAGAGTATCCCATTCTTCTACTTCTCAAGCTAAAACTCTGCAAATTAAAACGTTAGATTCATTTCCGTTCTGCGATGCGTCGCCTAGACAATCCACCTTCATTCCGCTCATGCACATGGTTCCCGCCCAGGTGTCTGTGAACTGTCCACAAAGCGTTGATGGTGGAAGCTTGTTCCGTTTTGTAAAGGGAATTTCCATGCATGGGATTTTTTCGCTAGCAGTCACATGATGTTATGCGCATAAGGTATGTACAGCAATTTCCGTACACGACTCCTTCGAATCTATGTTCACCTGCAGCTGCAGAAGGCCTGGAAGTAGAATACTCCTGAGTTTTTGTTATAGAATAGTCCAGGATCTTGAGCCTTGGCGACAAAGATCTAGGTAAGCCTTGTAGCCCTCTTGGTTCAATCGATACCGCCTGTTCTGGAGAAATTGTCTTCAGGATTGTTTGGCTCATGAAAGGATCGGTCTCAATTGCTTTTCGACTTTTCAGGCTCTGACGAAGGCGAAGAGGCCGAAACGTAAGCCTAATAAAAAAGTGCTGAAATCTTGGTCAGGCTACAGCAAAACCATCACGTCAACTACTGAGTTTATTGTTGGGCTGGCATACTGATATGGTTATGCCATGATCGACTATCCGGAATGATTCAAACCATTTGATGCGTCAATTGTTCCAGCTCATATAGTTACTGTAAGACTGTCTGGGAGATAATTGTCTGCTTTGAGAATCTGCCAGTAATTGGTGGCCATTGGATACTTCAATAGACTCAAACTCGAAAGTTCAATAAATGTTATTCATTTGCTTGCCGGTCGTGAACGAAAATTTTAGTAGTAGCAAATGTTCGAGAAAATCAACCATTCAGCCTTTCACCCTGGGTTACACACGTAGTCTTGGCCACTAGAAGTATCGATATCGCGCATTATGATGCTCTTTGATATTGATGCCACGTCGTGCTATTTAGGAGTCTGCAATTACGGCGTGAATCCAAAAGGAAATAGGATGTGATTCAGTCGTGTCCAAGATCGTGTGCACAGAACGGAGAAGGAAAGAGAAACTCGAGCAGATCTGGATGGCCTGTGTTAGTGTATCCCCCTCGGAACTATGATATGCAACTGTTTTTGAAGTCTTGCTTGACCAGTATTCGCAAACGAGGAGAACGTCTTTTAGGCCTCCAATGGAAGGCAATTATAGTACTTGAATCAAGATTTATATGATTATAAAAGTGCGATCGCAACTTACTTCTGTCTCAAATCTTGTGCCATGGCGGTTATGGCGCAGTCTTCTCGGGCTGGTGGTGGTAACGTTGGGAAGTTCAACACATATGGTAGATTAGTGACGCCCTGCTAAATAAACACATCTAGATGTAGAATAAGAACGGATGGGCGTGGGGGTTGAAGCAAATTAGTCGCTAGCCGCGCGCGACCAAATCCGCGACCATACACGGCAATTGTTCAATATGTAGGTGTGGCGATCAAGAGATTCATCGCGCGCGAACGATTGAAGCAACTACGCTCGCTCAGTCCTGCTATGGAATATGCGGTGTCTGGTCAACCTATTCTTGTCTATTCAGTGGTTTACTATCCATGTCTGGGTGCAAAGCACTCAATGGAAAGTTCCCCGGGTTCTTTTCAATGAAATCCATGACTGTGCAAGTGAGTTAGCCCTTGAAACCAGCAGCAGAAAGCGCATTTCAGATGCAGAAATTTTGAACTGACCACCTATACACCTGTTAACACCTGTTTAAAAGAAGACTCCAACAATTCATGCGGAAGAGATAGAACAGCCCACGGATAGCACAAATGTGCCGTTGTCGCGGCTCGAAAGTGCTTACAATCAGCATTTGGCCGGCCCCTAATCCTAGTGTTTGGACGTGTTACCTAGCTCATACCCCATGACACGCAACGTTGATTACGACATAGCTAATTCAAAAGCGGGATGGTGGAGTCATGCAGCAGGCGGGTGTCCCCCAAGAAGCCCATCGCGCGGCTAAGCAAGACGCAGATGCGGCAAAGAGGCGAGTTGCAGGAACGCATCGTTTTGTACTCCTTCTGACTAGTAAAGGACGCCATTCGTTACGGGTCCCACTGCCTCCTGCTACAGTGAACCCTTCAATGTGGAGCGGGGAATCCGTGAGCCAGGGGCAGTGTCGCCAGTCTAGGGGGGTGGGGGGTGAGGGCAGACACTTGACATGCGTGAGAAGCTGGAATGTTCGAATTCAACCGCGATCACATGGGATCCCCGCGGGTTAAGGCAGTGGGTCCCGCAACGAATGGCGCCCTATACTAGTCAGTAGGAGTACAAAATGATCACTCCGTTGCCAGCGCGTGCTGGGGCGCACAATGAGACGTATATGAGTAGCACTCTGGTTTAGCAGCAGTTGAGACCGGCGCTAGTTTGATAGCGTTGATCTGGGCGGGTAGGACCGCGCGCATTATTTTGACCGCGCGCGAGTGTGACATGGCACCATGTCAAACGGTCCCACGAGAACTCCTTTTTACTCAGGAAGTGTGTATTTGTTATCTTTCTTGTGTGGTAGGTCTCCGATTATGCGATTTTGGCCATTTTAGCGATTCCTGTGATTTGATCATTATTCAAACATTTTTAGAAAAACTCGATAGCCCATCAACCGAAGCTTCTTTCCAGGGACCACGCCTTTTGTAACAATGCCTAAGTATGGCGCATACATCACGTAAATAAGTTACCTAAAATGTTTGAAAACCAGCTTAAAAAAGACTGTGACATGACATCATGTCACACGGTCCCACGTGGCCGAAAGAGTGTGGTATGACATCATACCACACGGTCGTCAACGTGTTAACTCGACGCCTAACCGCTACGTATGCGCTGCGACTCGTCCCTTTGCCGCGTCTGCGTCTCTTCCTTCGCCGCGAGGTGGGTCTGTTGGGGAACACCCTGCAGCAGGCAGGTTCGTACAACTCGGTAGGCCCCGCCCTTTCCTTTTTCAAGAGGATGTTTTTGTTTTGGGCGTCATCGACGGTGTTCTTTGCTTCTTTTTTTCCGAAGGCTTATACAACCAGCAGGATCCCCGCGCTTTTGCGCGTCTGTCGCGCACTGGGCCTGCTAACTGATATACAATACATGGGGCTGCGTTCATGGAGCTTGCAGCATCGTAAAATCTACCACTCTGCGGAATCGACAGAAGCATTGCAATGAGGTTCAAGTCTGCCAGATTGATAGATATCCAGATGTAGCTGTAGTTTCCAACAACGGCCAAACCCCACGATGTTGCAGAATATAAATGGTCGCTTCAAAATGAAGCTGTAGCGTATTTTGGTCCCGTATGGCCCCGCGCAGCAAGCAACAAACGCTACACAGCCCCAACTGCCCATCCTTTCTAACTCGAGCAAGTATCTAGTAAGAAGATCAGGCTAACCTCCTCGATTTGTTCACGATGTATCGGGAAGTGCAAAAGCCTCGTCGGCATAGTCGAGAAACGTCGAACTGGTCTCTGGCGGATGAAATATGGCTATTCGCCAACCGCCTCTAGCCAGTGCTGTCAATGTTGGGCCGTAGTTACCGGCATCTGAACAGTGTCTATATACGAGAGCTGCAAAGACCCTGCTGACCTTAAATGTGATTTGTGCAAATAGAAGAAGCCCAATCAACACTATTTCCCTAAATGTGACCCGCTTATGATGCTAGTCTTCTGGGCCTTCACCATAACAGTTGTCTACGGAGCTAGATGGGTAGTCTGTTCCACAGAACTCAGCGCCGACATTCAAATTTTAGCCATAACATAGTTCGCCAACCGCCGACCATTTGCATCATGGGTAACTCACGCCATTCCGTCCATGACCCACTACCCTTTCGACTTTTTTGCGATGCACCCAGTTTATTGTCCCAATTCCCGGTCTCGGGATGAAGACTAGCTACAGAATCAAAAGTCCGTTCAACAGGACTACATAGCGGTCCTATCCAAGTGTTTTATCCCTGAAATCCCACATCTTGTCCACCACTGCTCAAACATCGTCAAGGTGCTGTCAAGCTTATCGCTATGAAACTGGTCAATATTCACCCAAAGATGCTCAAAGCCCACAGCTAATGGTAAGTGTAACTTACCAGAAACGAGAGCAATGAGGCCAGGCGCTCCGTTAATGGTTGAAGCATGCCAGACCATTCTTTGGCAGAGGGCCTCCTCGATTGAGCCCTCGGCGGACAGTGACATATGGGCGATTTCTCCATGCTGAACACTCGTTATTTGAACTACTTTTTGAAAATGCTATCAGACAAATCAGAGCGGAACTGATGTCATGTAGTTATTCAAGGTGCACAGCGTTGATCACTGATGGGTTCGGTCGCGAGACGGCTGGACGGCTGCCCAGGGAACCAGGACTGCAGTGTAATCTTCAAGATGAATCC